GATGGTGTGTCTTGCATTATCTGGGAAAAATTACTTGCTGGAGTTACAGGAAATGTGTTGACTTCACATCATTTCTTTATTTTCTCAGCAGATGTTCTGTGTTCTTGCCAGCTCATCTATGTGTAGTAAAACTTAATATATTGAAAACAAACAATTCTTTTAAAAAGCTGTGTAGTATAGAAACAATAAACAATGTTTTTGCATTTATAAACTTCCTCACTTGGGCCTCTTTCATACTGTTGGGTGAGTCCCAAGTCATAAAGAGTATAATCCTGTAAAAGTGGTTGGATGGATTACATGAATTGGAGCAGGGAGCACCAAGACACCTAACAATCTGATTTTCTAATACATACTCTTATAGATTTCATGATAAGTTTTTTTTTTCCTTTTGTATATAACGTGTCCTCACAGTTGTGGAAGTGATGGGATTTAATCCTGTAAATGTGTATATACATGAAAGAAAATACATATTCCCAAGATAGGTCCTTTTATGCAACCACCAGTTTAGAAGCCTCCAGCCATGTGCATCATCATGTGCATAGTTGTATATAAGCCTTGTTCTTCAAGAGAGTATTCAATTTATGCATTTTAAGGAAGTCTGATATTGGCTCTAAAAAGAGGTTTGTATTGTAATACAGAAATGTAGATTATATGTCGGTGCTATCTTCTGGATGCAAGAATATGGGCTAAAGAAAAGCATTAAAAAAAGGATATTGAGGCATGGAATTCTGTTTGACTTGCATATTCTTCTCTGTGATACAATACAGCTAGATTGGTTAAGCTGATTCCTTTTAGAGTATATGTTCATTGTGTATACAGTAATATTAATTTTGTTCTAAATTTAAGTCAAATAACAACTTTAGACTTTCTTCAGGAATTCAGTAGTGTAAATTTTACTTATGCATTCTGGGTTTTTGGAGAATTGATACTACAGCTGTGTTTTTACATTGTGTAAAATAGTTTATATTTCATTAATATATTTTTGTATTACCAGATGGTAACTTGCTTTAGAAACAGCTTCCTCTTTGATTTCGTTTTGCCTTTAAGTTCTTACAAGTCAGATAGCAGCCAGAAGATGAAGACTTAAGCAATATGTAATATCCAGTAAGCATGACTCAGTTGAAACAAGGGCAGACTGATATCTGGGACCACATGTCCATGCTTAGCCTCTTTTCTTGTTTAAGGAAGTTACCCTTGAGTCTTTATTGTTCATTGGCATCAGTATGTTAACAATAAAAATAGTTTCCCAGATTCAGTCATAATATATGCAGAAATACTGTAATACACACTCAGGCATTCCAGTGAAGCAAGAGTCATTAGCAGAAGTCACTGTAGTGTGGCTTATGTGTGGGTGATAAATACCATGAGATATATCCTGTTAATCTCTCTCTGCCTCTGGTAAAGTTGTTGCAGTTTAACAAGAATTGTAGTGCTTGAGCTCAGTCATAATGTCAAAATCCCACTTCCTAAAAATAGAGGTTCCAAAACCCCCAGATTTATTAATAGTAGAAAGTCAAATTCAGAAAAGGAATATATGATTTTCAGTTGGTTTTCCTTTCTAGGTAGTGGTGATTTTTATGTATGCTACTGTATAGTTGTTTTCTACTTAGACCACTGATTTGAAATGGACAACGCTAGTTTTTTTTAAATGCCACTTCAAAGATGTATCTAAGAGCCAAGATGGCTAAATATTTGGCATGTGTTATTTTAAGTAGTTCAGTTACTCTGAGTGTAGTCTGGCAGAAATAGTTTCTTTGCAGGAAGAAAATCAATAGCATCTTTGTATTTAAATTTTCACAAATAAGCCCTTGGAAAATCTCTGTGGGTACCTCAAGGCTGCTGTTTCCTTTAAAAAAAAAAGTTTCAGCACTACTTCATGCCAGTTAACAATGGTGAATGATTCTTAAATCATGGGGAATCTTAAGAATACTGTAATCCTCTGTTTTATGGAAAAGAACATTGAAGTTATATTTTGAAATCACATATAACTATGCTAATTTATTAAAACTGACAGGAACTACACCCTTCACACACGCACACACACAAAAACAAACCTTAAAGCAGCCTTTATTCTGTAATCCCATTTATAAAGTAGATTAAAAATAATACTATAAATGCACATCTATAAATTATCAATATATGTGAATCAGAGGACTGATGGCTGCAGAAGAAGTGGGAAGGCACTGGTATGGCTTACTGAAAGAAAAATATTGATTATGTTATATAAATGCATGTGTACAAATAATGTTATTTTGTTTCTTGTAAACCAATAATTGTAGATATGATTTCATGAATTCTAATTATGGGAGGTATAACCAGAAGTTGGAATAGCTTATTTATTAATATGATTAATAGAATTAGGATATTTGAAAAGTTGTTTTTTTACATGTGAAAAATAACTTTTCAAATACCCTAAGTTTATTAAGGTAGATAGTCTAGACTAATATTGGTTCATCCTCAACAGGAGCTTGCTATTTTGCTGCTTTTTGATTGCCTGTTCAAAGATTTCATTGGGGAAGTATTTTATGAAGTTCTCTTTTTAAGCTTAAGAGAATGGAAACTTTCCCTCCAAATTACTGTAATTCAGTATTGCCAAAGAAATGCCCAGTCCCCACAAACTGTTGAAAAACAGAATAGCTAGGAATTCTTGCACACACTGAGTCAGATCTCCATTGTATGAATAGGCAATGACAAAGTGGTGGGCTTTCTGGGAAATGCAGTGGCAAACTGTCTGTCTTTTTTTTTTTTTTTGGCTGGAGGGTGGGGAGGGATGCATGTAAACCTTGTGAAGATTTAACATTTTGCTGTGAAACAAGTGAAATCATCTTCCTGGCATCTGTGGTCAATTTGCGCTTTGGACTGAGAGTTCCTCATAGTCAAGAGTTCCTCCTACAATTCTGTTCAGTTTAAGCATTTGAGGGCTTCATAGTGAGATGTGGAATACATTGGGGCAAACCACAACCATGTAACAGTGTGGGATCAGTTGCTAATAAGATGACAACTGAAGGGTGGTTTCTGTGTGAGAAATGCCTTGCTGATATATAGTAATGTAAAAATTACTTTGGAGGAAATTATAAAGGACATGAAGGTCATTTAATTTTTTCATATTATAGTAGGAAAATATTAGCTAAGCCTGGAAAAAAGCTAAGGGTTAGAAACTTGCTACTAGCAGTTAGGTTTGCCTCTTCAAGCTTCACTGGTAGTTTATTAAATATTTATACTGATGCTCCCATGAAGAAAAGCTTGAAGTGGCATATGATAAGGGATTAAAATAATAGTTAAATATAAAACATAATTTGGTAATTTAGAAATTATAAGCATTTAATATTAAGAATCCAAATTTGTGTTTCCTCATTCACGCTTGTGTTTGCATTTCCTGATTAGTTTTATATATCATCTCAAGCCATTAGGATGGTTAATTTGGTTTGGCTTTAAAATGCTTTGAGAATCTAACCATTGTGATTTAATCAATAAACCAAGTTAACCAAGTATGGCTTAGCATGTAGGAACATAGGTATTCAATCCTCCAGCAAGAGTAGGCTGTGCAGCAAGGAATGTGAGTGTGGCACTGATCTATAATTCTTTAAAGTTGCTGATTCTTCTCCTGGGCTCATATACAGTGGTACCTCGGGATACAAACTTAATCCGTTCTGTGACTCTGGGTGTATCCCGAGTTGGTCGTAACCTGACGCAAATTTCCCCATAGAGTTCAATGTAAATCCGGTTAATCCGTTCCGCCCTCCGAATTTGGTCGCACCCCGAAGCAAATTTTCCCACAAGGTTCAATGTAATTACCGTTAATCCGTTCTGGCGTCCGCGGACCACGCGTCAGGGTGGGAGAATGG